ACAATATATTTACACCTGCGATCCATCAAATTAACAATATATTTACACCTGCGATCCATCAAATTAACAATATATTTACACCTGCGATCCATCAAGCTGCGGCATTTATTTCATCGGACAATCCAAACGATTTACTAAATGTTGATACGTATAAGCAAGTTCTGTTCTTTTAAGAGACAAAAAAATTCACAGCTTAGCTTTCATATTAACTGATTTATTATTCTATCATGAGCATTCTGTTGAGGTTGGTCTCAAGAACTAGTAGGTACAGACTGTTACTCTTCTTCCTCTCAAGACCCGTAAACGCTGTACACGTCCCGTATGAAAGTCGCGCACGTTAAGGATACCTCGGTGTTCCTAAAATCGATAAGAGAGAGGTTTTGGCCGCCACCCGAGGACAGTTCAAAATTAAATTCTACCTGACTATAAAATGTTTAATGTGTCCTGCGCGCTCATATGACATTATGCAATTGCGAGCGCCGTAAAATACTTACAAAAACAAGGCTTTACATACGCAGGGATCTGGCCTCGGGTGTGACCCCGATGCCCGAAAACCGTGGAAAATGATTGCGTGTCTGGTCGATTAAATGAGACCGAGTGCGGGTTGAGGTATGGCACGGGTCCAGAAATTTAGACTGCGCCAACTATTAATTTTCCACCGGAGCAGGATAGAGCGGGGGGGGGGGGGGGGGGGCTAAGAAAGAAATCCTCCCGTTTTGCATTCAGAATTTAAATGCGCGTTTAACTTTGTGACTTCGAATTCGGTATCAGCGCCAACTTTAGAATGAATGTTATACTATACTAAATACATAATAGTTTGATGTTGAATAAAATTTTTGCATGAAAAACTGTTTCGTCTTGTGCCGATTGTGTAAAGCACAAAGTAACCAATAAAAGACGCTATCCCCATGTGTGAATGCTGTGCGTTTGTGGAAAAGATAACCTAAGACCGAAGTTCGAAGCAAGGCATGCTGCTTGACTTGCGTCAACTGACTTGTGTGTGTATGATAAGATAAGATAAGATAAGATAAGATAAGATAAGATAATACTTTATTATCCTTGAGGGAATTTTTTCTTGGCTGTACAGGACCGTAAAAACACATGCTGGTATACATTTAAAAAATGTAATTATATATTACTCTCACTAAAATTCAATATGAAAAAAGAAGTAAAGCTGACAAAATGTACATTCACATCAGAAGCATCATTCAACCACAAGAAAGAATTTAAGTACAAGGCCTTTGGAGTTATATATAGATACATACTCTAAAGAGCAATACACATCTATGCTTATTTTGACAAAAGCCTTATGCTAGATAGTAAAAAACTTCTTTTATATCTTTCTTTCTTTGTTTTTGGAGGTAAATATCTGCCGCTGCGTGATCTTACGATTTGCGGGGAAAGGTGGTGTGATGGATCGTGTATAATGCTTTTTATCTTTTTTATGCATGTGGTGTTATTCATTTCATCAATTCTAGTACAATCATTCAGAGATCTTGCTGGCTATCTTAATGGTTCTGTCAAATTTTTCTTTATCTTCCCCCTTACAATTCTCAGCCCAGAAGCAAAAACTAAATAATAGCACACTTTCAATCATAGAATGGTATAAAAGGGACATAATCTTATTATCAACATTCTTTTATTTACTTTTTTATGCACAAGAGCAACATGGGGATGCCAGTCCAGTTTGTTATCGATTGTTACACCAAGGTACTTGTAAGAGTTTACCACCTCCACCTTCTCATCTTTAATAAATAGCGTTTGCAATTGTTTATTTTAAACTCTAAAGTCTATTATTAATTCCTTTGTCTTAGTGCGTGTGATATTTGAGTTTGAAAACTGTATATCGAAGGCAAAAATGTATAACATTCTCTCGAGTATCAAGAATAGACAAAAAATTCATTTTGTTTATCCAAACAGAGACATTGAAGTTGTGATAATGTGCCATGGATTATACATACATCAAACATTTCACAACCTACAAGCACTTGAAATACAATAAGGTCCGAAGAATTCATGTGCTACAAGAGAGTAACATACACAAAAAAAGAAAAGAGCGATAAGGATGATAGATATTTAATAGGAGAGAAGAAGCAAACCACACCAGAGAACCCGCCAACCACCCGCAACCTACAATCTGTCACAAAGTACACGATGATCAGGGACACATTCTAGTCGCCATCTATAAGGACTTGATGTTTCGATCAGGCCCCACTCCCCCCCCCCCCCCCCCCCCCTTTTTCCCCTCAACCTTTTTCTCCTTTTCCCGTTTTCTTATTAGCCCATGGAGTTACTGGGCGAAAAAAAAAAATCATCAAGAAGCAAATCATTTAACTTTTTTCGTCTCCTTGTTTTGGAAACGTACCAACCGAGTGATTTGCAAATTTTTTAAAAGAAAATCATTTTTGTCCTGTTTCTTGGCTTAGTCGAATAAAATGTTACCTCCATGTTGTTTTTTTAAAGGGCACTTTGCTGCGTTTTCTTTTCTCCGTTTACTTCGCACAAAATGGGTATTTGGAAGGGACGAGCTGTGGGAATGATAGTGTGATGTGCACATCAGTAACAGACTGCAACGGTGTTTGTCCAGCAGAGGACTAAAACGGCAATAATGAACAAACATTAAAACTTGATGATAATATCTGTGTTGTGTGAAACAAGGATGCCCATACTGATACAGACCATGTCGTTAGTGTCGGAAAATCCAATGGCCATCCACTCGTTGTCTGCCACTGTGCCGGACATCTCGAAGGTGACGGACTGGTCAGTTGCTGAGTAAGTCCAGTTGAGACTATAGGGGCACGAATTAGCATTGAGACACCCGCCTTGAGAGCACCCGGAAGCCGCGTCGTTGCTGTCCGCATCTAACAAGGAACATAGAAGGTGGTTAGTCTCTTTAATAAAAAGTTTTACGCCACTTGCAACAAAATAAGGTCATATAAGTGCCGAAGATTAGAGGTATTGCAAGAGAGTAGCAAAATATAAAAAAGGAGATATTAGGACGATAGGTGTTTGCCAGGAAAGAAGAGCACCCGTAAACCAACCAGTTGAGAACAACCTGAAGCCAGTTCGCTGCTGTCCGCATCCAAAAAGGGACATAGAAAGTGGTTAGGCTGGGAAGGGTGAGGCGTCAAAGACATTGAGCACCATTGGGGACACAAAGCGGTAGGAAATGATTCTCCTCCCCCTCCCCCCTACCCCCTACCCCAGCCCATAATTTAGACATATTACGAGTATATGCACATATTCAAACACGCACGCACTCATACCACGCACGCATGCAC